GGGTTCATTTTCACCTAAATTCCCTTGTCCAAATTTGCTACATAAACTAAGAAAATGCATAACGTAAAAACGTTTACTGACCTTTCTGGCAATGCCTGCCATCATACCCTAGGGGACAGTCACACTCATAATCGTCCCACCTCGGTCTGCATGTTCCACCATTGGCACATGGATTTTGGACACATGGGTGGACAGAGTTTGCTACATTTACACCATCAGCAGAGGCGCTGGTTACTGGGAGGGTGCGATCATTTAGTGACAACTGGGAACATGAGCAAAATAAAGAGAATGAAAGGAAGAACAACAGTTGTCCTTAGAAATGCCACAGCGTGTCCGTCTTTCTTACTGTACCTTTTGAACTACTCCAGTGAAGGGTTTTGTTACGCCTGCCCTCTTCTTTGTTTTTTCATATTCAGGCACACCTCCGATATAAAGAGAAGAACTGCAGCTGATCTGAGTGAATGCTCCCTGGAAAGAAAGAAAACAAGGTGTGACAGTTTATTAGCTTTTATGTAGCTTGGACACAATGTAAGGCGTCAAACTTTAGAATTAGTGTTACAATGTTTTTTTTTTTTACAATTTAATATTAGATTATTAACAACAACAAACTGAAGTGACTGACACATTTGAATGTGTTTCTTTTATATGGTTTCTTGATAAAAGCAGAAGGCTATCAAGTTGGGGTTACATTTTTAATCCATGGCAAGGTGAAGACATTTGTCTCAACTGTCTGAAAGAACTACTGTACTGTATGTATATATATATTACATACATATGTATGTATATACCTACGCATGTACATATATATTTATTAATGTACTTATTTATAAACACATATATACAGTACATATATAAACACACACATATTTTATAATATAAACATATGTATAAATATATAAATGTGAATACAATCATACATATGAATTATATATACTGTATATATAAACATACAAATATATTTAATGACAATTTGTAGGCAAAGCAAATATAACAAGAATTGCTTCAATTGAACTGTTGGTGGAAACATCATTATTTAATACCGTTGATGCTATCTTTTCTGACATAAAAAACTCAATTTTTTTTACATAATATGCATTCATGCAAAGGTACCTCAGCAATCCCCTCCTTTGGCCTTTGACTGTCCACCTGCAGGATGCCACTCTTCGCTGTGCGGGACACCTTCAACTCATGCCATGCGTTCAGACTGATCGGCTCCTCACTCCTGCGGCAGAGATCATCATATGTAACGAGTGATGTATGTAAGATGAAATATAGGAAACAACAAAGACAATAAGAATGGAGCTGCCCCACCACCTTATGACAGCTCCTCCAGAGCCACAGTCAAATCTGAACTCTACATATCTGTCCACCAGGTTTATAGCCAGAAAGTCTCCACTGCCTGCATCGTCACTGTACAGCAGCATCCCATCGGGAGTTGAGGGCCAAAACGTCAACTCAAACTCAGTGAAAGACAGATAACTTTGAGGGGCCAGGGGCCAGGGGATGACAGCGTATGAAAAAACTGACTCATTGAAGAGTGGTGAAGACAGTGAGAAACCTGGTGAGAGGAGAAACATTCATATTTTATTTACTGTCATTCTGAACATGTCAGCCCGTGAGATCTTTATGACAAACAGGAACCTAAAAAGTAAAATGTTATGAAATATTCTGGTGAAAGGATAATTTATCATCATTTAAATCAGTTTGCTTTATTTATTTAGTTATTTTTGCATTATTTCAACAGCAGTACTTTCAAAAGTTCTATGCCAGATAAACTGAAGCAGGTGGAAATTCTACTTTTTGCTTTGGCTGAACAATAATAATTATCTCATGAAATGAACAGCTGCCTGTTGTTTGTGTAGAAGTGAAAAGACAGTAAACACAGTCGACTTACTCTCTTCACAAAGAGCTCCCCTGAAGCCCAGTGGGCACAGGCAGATGTAGCCGTCAGCACGGTTTGCAAAGCAGACGCCACCATTGGAACAGCTGACCTGGTCACACACGCTGTAACTGCAGTCACCTGTCACACGGGGGTGAAGAGATTTGAGATAATCATGTCAGGTGAAAAAGACCCCTGAAATTTGGAACTGAGAAGAATATTCTAATCAAGAATATTTGAAAAATATAAATAATTTAAATGCTAATACAAGAATACAAAAATAATTGTAATTTCATACAAAGACAAAACATGGATGTCTCCTCACCAATATCAGCTCCACTTAGTGCTCTGCCCAGAGGCCAGGGTCTGACGTCTGTGGCCTTGTTGTTGATGGTCAGACTTTGAATGCAGCCAACAAAGCCATAATTTGTCCCTGTGGGACGTACAAGCCAGTAAGCATTTGGGGATCCCCCCACATACAAGGGTGAGCGGAAAGTGATTTTTGTGTACTGGCCCTGAAACAGCAAGAGGAAATGGTACCTCCTTTATAACTGCAGCAAATCTCCACAGCCTTAGAAAAGCAGTGTTATTAATAAGTAAATAATTATTAACAAGGGCTGAGATATTTGAAAGCTGCTGAAAGCAGTTTGTAAATGAGATTTGACATTTTTGTTTTGACATCTGTCCTTTTTACCTTTGACCGTCCGGATATGGGGGTGTCGTTGTCCACGCGTAGCCAACCACTCATGCCGTCCCTGAAGACAGTCACTGTGTGCCACTGACCGAGAACTACATGACTCTCACTGACAATCTGAGCTGCTCCTGTGCCACAGTTAAATCTGCAGAGACCACATTTATTAAACATTACATCGACGTAGTGTAACATATTAATTACACTCTATGCCAGGCATGGCAAAACTATAGACAGGGGGCCAGATGTGGCAGGTTTGGCATTTTAATTCGGCCCGCCTAACTTGTCTTAAAGCAGTAATTTATATTATGATTATACTTCTGCCTTTTTACTGCATTGCCCACATTATCACAATAGATGGAGTAGAAAAGGTTAAAAGCAGTTTAGCTTTTTAGCCTTTATGCATGACTTACAAGTCATTTATCTTAGTGCACACGCACGCTCTATCTTTCCCGGCACCCTGTCAAAAAGTTTGCCCGTGCCTGGTCTATGCCATAGATGATCATGTTTGAACAACCCTGCACCCTCACCCCAGGCAGAGTAGAAATTCATCGGGATGCTAACAGTAGGTCCCTAAACGTGTACATTTTTGCCTCTTTAATGCCCTTTTTTTACTTTCTGTGATGATTTATCCTAATATAATTATGATTAGTTGCGCTTTGGCCTAGGGGCAATGTCTCTGTCATTGGTGTGGAACCCCAGGGTTAACCTCCTGTGCAAGATCGAATCTTGGTTAGGGCGGTTGGTACCTTCCAGTGGACTCACCACCCTCAGGAAGGTTCGCGGGGTTGGTACGGTGCAGTGTGATTTGGGTGGCGAATTCTGCCCCCGCGACCCGGTAACGGATAAGCGGATGAAAATGGATGGATGGATGGATGGTTAATTGTGATTATTTACAACCATGATTAATCCATAGCGACCCTGTGATTAATCTAGTAACATTTTTATGTCAAGATGCTCAGCCTCAAAAATCACTATCACCTTTATCCTCTGGTCAATCACCACTTCTGTAAACTGCATTTCCTCCTAACACATGGGGATTAAGTTTGCTGACTGTTATCATAATAAATTGTGCCATTCCAGCCAGCTGATGAAACTGGACATTGAACCTTTTCTCTTTTCAGGTGAGTGGATGACCTACAGCAGGGGAGTCATACATATGGCCTATAGGCGAGGACTGGCCAGTTAGTTTAATCTGGCCTGCCTGATGAATTTTGAAAGTAAAAAATATTCCTAATAAAATGTTGTCCCTTAATTGACCAGGACCGGCACACTATATTAATTAGAGTAGAGGGGAGCAATGTTTTAATCAGAGGAGAATAGACACAACCCTGGCACTCAGGCTGAACAGCAGGTGGTACCAAAGAGTTTAGCGCTTGATAGAATCCTATTGTTCTTGCAATGCCATAATTTATAAAAAGTGAAATACTATGTTTTTCAGTTTAGTAGTAATTATGTCATGATTGTACTGGTCCCAACCCACTTGACATCTAATTAGGCTGTATATGGCCCCTGAACAAAAATTTGTTTGACATCTCTGAACTACAGGATTCTTTGTTATTTCTTTTTGTCAACAATAAAATGTATACAATTACAGTACAATTACCAACTAAAAGGTGTTAAATAAAAACAAGTCCACCAGTTTGGTATTACTCATATTACAGGAAGTGTCCACCATAAAGAAAACAGCATTTCATTATAATTGCTTTGTATTGACTGTCATTTCATTTAACAAAACTATGTTTTATAGTTACAGGGTATGCTGAAAGAACTCTTATCAATTGTTCTGCTTTAAATTTAAACCAAGTAAAGTAGAAGTGAGAGAAGCAGGAAATGAGAGATGCTAATCTCCTCACCTGTAGTGAAGTTTGCTCCTCACCAGGGCCAAAGACGTAAAGTCTCCACGTCCGTGTTCATTTTCCCCACAGTAAAACAGCAGACCATCCTCAGAGTCAGCCTGAGATGCACAGTTTAAAAGAAAACTCTCTATTAATATCAAGTAGTATAAAATACTACTTGTATACGGTGTATCACTGTAAAGGCAGTATTTTGTTTTACTTTGATCTCCAAAGTTATCTGAAAGCTCTGGTAGGAATTTTTCAAGGGTTCAAAGGTCATGTGAGAGTAGCCATAGAACCTTGGAAACTTGACTGCCATCACTGGGGAGTAAAGGGATAAAACCACAGTACATTTGTGGTCACAGAGCTGACATTTTAAAGCACTGCCAGGAAGACATCGATCAACTCTTATCTCACCCTCAGAGCAAGTGTCTCCCGTTCGCCCGAGGTTACAGTGGCAGCGTGAGCCTCCCGTGTCGTGATCACCGAGGCAGAAGCTGTTGGGGGGGCACACAGTATCATCACAGGTCAGGTCGTAGATGCGGGGCACATCACCTTTCCAAGGTGACTTGGTTGGGGTGGTGGTGGTAGTAGGCAAAGTAATTCTAAGTCACATTTACCAAGAAAAAGAGTTAGTAGATCAACTATAATATATTCTGATTTAAATATCATCCATTGCATTATATTCCAAGGTCCCTGGTTTTTCATAAAAGCCACATTGGCTTTTAAAAAAGGTTTCCTAAGATGGAAATAAAATTACAGCAGAAGCTAAATATTCATTTGAATGGTGGTTACAGAACCACGCATATTAGACACCCGTAATGACATGCTGTACATCACAGCCAGACTGACAGAGAGCTTAAATTATGTGACATTTCACTGCTCCGATCATAATCTTTTAGTATGTGAAGAGCTGTGAAAGGAAAAGTGTAGAGAAGCAGGGAAACAACATTAACAACAAGAACTAAAGGAGCACAAAAAAGAAAATGTATTTTGTTGAAAATTGTTTACATAACTGACCTTGTTTATTCACCAGTGAAAGATCATGAATTTACTATTGGTGGTGTAAATCAACTCTGACCTGTTGTAGCCCTAAACCCTTTATCACCATCGGGGTATAATTTACCTGGTGGTAGTGAGAGGGGCACTAGTCGTGGTGTCTGGTGTTGTAATGGACTCTGAAGATGTAGAGAAGATCAGATCTTTCAAGTCCTGTAGAACAGACGTTGTGGTCGTTGTGTGGGACAGAGTTGGGGCAGCAGAGCTGGGGGGCGGCATAGTGTTCGTACGATAAATAACATTTGGAGCAGATAGTGAATCCGAATGAGAACGGTGTGAAGATTTCTCGTTGCTTGGACCATTACCGGAGAATGGACTCATCTAAGGAAGCAGAGAAATAAAGAATATTATAATACAGTATAACAAACTATTGGATATGTTTGAAAATAATTAGTGATAAAGAGTAATTAGAATAAAGAGTGTCAGTTTTTTGTATGAACAAATATCTGGAGTAACTATCCAACTATCATTTTACATTAATACTGACCTCTGCCATGTAAATATCATAATCTGAATCATCAATATCGAAGCCATCTTCATCTCTGACTTCAGAGTTTGTGATGTACAGGCCATAATCCCCACTGCTGACCTCTGAGGTGCCTGTTGTTAATGTGAAAAGACAAATCACGATGAGAAATGAGCAGGTTATTACCCATGATGCATCGCACCATCGGCCGTGTTGTGTAGCAAAAGACACGAACAGGTAGGCGTAAACAATCGATAATGACAACAAAAGAATATTAAATTGCCGGAGGGAGATCAGATGAAATTGTTGTATAGAGATTCACAAGACACAATTACAAAGGCAAGATACTTGACAAGTTGAAAATAATTGATGGAAAAGACCCATACGATTTTTTCCAAAATCACCAAAAAAATGTACTTTTTACTTTCTACATCAAAAAATAATTTGATTGTACATGTACATAGAACATATTGATAATATTATGGACCATGGTCAGCTGAGGAGTTACGCATTGTGTACATTTGTCATGTATGCAAAGTACATTGTGATATATTTTAATTTTATTGATATTGAACGTATAAATTAAATAAAAGTATAATGTAATTACCCGAAATAAAGTGTTCAGAACAGACTTTGTAATGCCTTTAGCTTGGATCTGGGTTGAAATTAGCACAGTTAATACGTGAAAACCATAGCATCCTTCTTTCTGTCGAAATATCCTCTGTGAGCTTCCCTCAGTGACAAAACGCTTTATGTCAAAAAACTTAATCTTGCAATCTTCATTCTCAGATCGATTGGTAAAACCCTACACAACAAAGGTATTTACCATTATCTGTGTTCTTTTGTGTATTTAATATCTATCTATATGCTCTGTTGCCACACAAGATGGCAGACGGAACTATGGGTAGTAACGTGACATCATCGAAAAACTATCTATTTAAATATGTGCTGTAATATGTACAAATAAAGTTCCTAAGTACTCACAGACCAAATATGCATGTTTAAACGTGCACATACATACATTATTTTTAGCCATCTCTCCAGGAACTCTCTCCTTGTCTGTCTCAGGCTGAGACTTGTGACCAGTAATCATTTGGTTCTATAAATGTATTAGTCCAGAAATGCACTGCAATCTCACACACAAACCTGTGCAAATGTTCTGTAGTGTAGTGTAGTTACTATGATTACAGTAGCTCTCCCTAACTGCATCAAAAACAAAAAGAAAAAAAAACGTTTTGACTTTGCTGCTACTAATACTTTGACAGGTGTTGTCCCATATTCAAGCACATGTATTAGACACAAAATGACAGGTGTCAAAACTCCAATGTCAAAGCCATCAGAATTCATATCTTAGTTGGTGTTAACGTGCGGAATCATAACGATGGGCAGTGTTTTAGAAATATCTCGAGCGGAGATCATTTCTAAAAAATAATTAAAACAGTCATGTGAGTCATGTAAACAGTCATACAGTATAACCATGAGCTGAATAAAACTGTCTGGAATTTTTTCTGTTTCACAAAGTTATTTTCCCAAGCCCATATTTTGGGTTAGAGCTGGTCTTCTATGATATATGGTTTGATGACTGTTGCAGTGTCTGAAGGACAGGAGACTGAGATGGAAGATGTTGATGTTGATTTTCATAGGGACTATCAAGGACGAACAGGATTAGAAAGGAGCAGTTCAGAGTGACAACTAAGGTTGAGCAGTTTGAAGGAGAGGATGTTGGAGATAGAGCAGCTCTGACAGTGGGTGAAGAAGAATGACACCAGTATAGATTTATTGTATAAAGAAAGAGGCCAATGGAGATGGTTGGCATACGTTCAATCTGCAAGTCTAGTTGCTCAATTTTGACTGTTCATTGAGATCAGATTCTTGACACGACTGCTGCCATTATAGTTAAATGTGAATGACAGCAGTTTTCAGTGTGAACAGTCTACAGCCCCAGAAGAAAACGTGACATTACACACTATTTTAAAAAAAAGTAAATAGTTAATACGGATGCCCCCCATGTCGTCTTTCCCATCTGATTTTTTAAGTTATGGCTGTCATTGAAAAAAGGTATGGGCCCCTTTTCCCTATGTTGTGATCTTAGTCTAAAAATAATTTGGCTGAGGCCAATTGTAGCGTCCCCTTTATGAAGCAGGCACAAGAGGAAGAAAGTGTTGGCCATGTACAGTAACATTTTAAGTAAAATAATAAAAGATAATTATAAAACCAAATGACGTGATCCATAGTACATTCAAAACTCTATAATCCATCTTTATGTAGCAACACTAAGGTAAAATAACGATAGAAAAATACAATATTCAAATGTCTGTAGGGGAATTTTTAATTCATGTTTAATGAAACTGTTTATAGCACTTTTCATGGCTTCATGGCTGTCGAAATGTAACTGCAGTGTTTCCACAGTAACAGCAGTATCTATAGTGTGTTAATGAATAAAACCGTAAATGTTCTGTTGTGATTTCACTCTGCATGAGTTCAGGAATGCAAACAGTAAAAAAAAAAGTGCTGTGTTTACTTTGCGGATGTATAGTTCAAACTTCTTCAGGTTGTGCCAAAACAGACCATAATTTGGATTCAGATGTGGTATTACCCAAAGTGTGTACAGGATTGTTGATGTAGCTGGGTGGGCTGACTCCATGCACGTTGACAGCCCTGACAACAAACTGGTATTCAGTTTCTGGTAATAACCCCTTCAGCACCATGGAGTTGGTTTCGATGGGCTCACGGATGTACGTCCACTCGGTGTCCATTTCAGGCCTGAGAAGAAGAAAAAAAATATTAATAAAAGGTTGTCAGTAATTATGCATTAAACCTATATATATATATATATATATATATATATATATTTACTTTGCCCTATAAATAATTAAACATAGCTAAACGAGGAGCTCCTGAACTTTTTCTCTTTGGTTGCCATTTTCCACTTCCATCCAAAGCAGTTATATCTAAGAGCTGATTGCTGACGCCTGAGGCTACAGTTATACGCTGCTCACACTCATCCTCTGATCCTCAAAGACTTTCTCAGTAAGACCCACTTTGATGTATAAGAAGAAGAGATCCGTCTCTAAGAGAGTCCTTTGTTTAAAAAAATGCCTCAATAGGCCAGAGGCAAATACACCAGAAATAATAGCTGTTGGAAAGTGTCCTTAACATGTCTTTAAATTGTCAAATACTGTATGTACTGTTTTTATTTAGATTTACCTTAGAATCACCTGTTAATCACAGATAATTCGATAAGTTTTTCTCCACATAAATTCCCCTTAATATTAAGCTAGGCTTAGTCGAATTGTTTTAGCCTAGCTTTCAGGCTCAAGTTGCCACACCTAGCTAACCGAGTCTATCTACTAAATCAAGACCTGAAATGTCTCTTTTCATTGTCAACAATTTAAAAAATGTTTCCATTATGTGTGTGTGTGTGTATGTAGCTAACTGCAGCCTGTTAGACCCTTTCCATTGTTACCATGTTGTAGTTGTTTGTACTAGCTAACATCTACATATAGTAGCAGTGTTGCTACCCACCAATTTAGGAAATTATTGTTTTGTTTTTTTACTTCTTTTTCCCATTGAATATATAGTGAAATGACTTTTTTCCATTTATATATCTATCTCATATCATTACATGTTTTTTTCTAGAATGTATGGAATTGTTTCATCTTAATTTAATTTACATTGATATTTAAAGAAAAGATGGTCTTGAATAAACACATTTTATTTCATGACTTTTTACTTCTCTTGGATTAAAGTATATTTTCATAGTAAAAAGTTCTCCTTGGTTAGTATTTGCCAATCATTTTTAAATTGATGTTTAAATTTGATCCATGAATTACTTGAGGTGGTGACCTATGAAAGTGTTTATGTTCAATGCAGGAATATGTGTCTATGCAGCAACGGTTAAAAAATGATCAGTGATTTCTGAGTGACACGAGTTTTAATGAATGCAAAGTTTCATCGATTGGGTTTCTGGAGGCTGATCAATCATTCATTACTGACCTGATGTAAGCCACCAGGAAGTGAAGGACAGATGAGCTTCCCTCACTCTCTCCAGGCTGCCATGACAACGCCAGCTCTGTGTCAGATACCGCCATGACAACAGGCTGAGACGGAGGGGATGGTGGCATACACATCTCTGATGGAGTAGTGCATTTAGAGAAACTGAAGACAATCACATATATGTATTAACGTTGCATTGATAACTTTTATTTTACATATCGTCACCATGTGGAGCAGTGCTGATGTCCCTGGGCATGCTTGGTCTTCCCTCCCCTGCCCAGCCGTATGCTCCAACACTGACTCTGTACTTAGTGTTCACCTTTAGGTTTCCAATGTCCACATCCTTCAGATTCAATTATATGGCACCAATTAAAGACACAAAGCAAAGTGGAAAAAAATGGCAGAAACACATTGCTGTAACGCTGTAAGGGCTGAGGAGGGAATTGATTGAAAACTAAAAGGCAGAGTGTGTGAAATGTAGTGGAAATGTCTACAGCGTTTTTGTCACCAAAATGGGCCAGGTGGCACTCACAAAGCTGGCTTGTCCCTCAAACTGTCCCTTTGACAAAAGGAAAAAAAATGTTTACATTAATGTTTCTCTCACAACATAGCAATAATTTATTGTAAGGTACCTACCAAAAAGTAAAAATGCTGTTTGTTGTTATTTCTCACTGGGTTGTCAGAATCTGATTTACTTTTAATTGGTTAGGTTTTTTGAGGTCCATCCATCTTTAACCACTCTTATACTTTTCTCTCATTCACTAAAATTGTGTTTGTACAACTCTGGCCTACTATGTTAAACTTTGTTTAAAAAGTAGATGATTTTTTATGTATGGTTTTATATATTTTATACTCACAGTAGTCAGTATGTCCAAGCCAAGAGGCACCTCCCACAAATGTGCAGATCCCAGTGGATGACCGTTCCTGATCTCAGTGTAGAAAACCTGAAATTCATCCCATTGTCAAAACAACAGAGCAATAAAAGTCTTGGCCTAACGCTAACATAAAATATCTAAACGACAGTTCTAAGTTTTACTCAAATGTTAGACCAAAGAACCATTTCATTCAACACTTACACTTATTCACTGACTGAACTTTGATATACAGTCTAAAAAAATAGTTTTTTCCTGGTTTATTTATACTACTCAATGTTATATATAGAAACCGACCATGTACTATAGACTGCCACAGTGACTGTTTACATGAACACACTGTCTCTGAGGCTTGAGGAAGGCAACGGTCGACTAATCCTCTTAGTGCAAGCATATGGTCAAAAGACGTGCACGCCCAATTCACAAAGTAAGGAGACAAGAATCTCAGGTAGGAAGAAGGAAAGAAAGGAAACAGAAACATACAACACACAAACAAGAAGAAAATGTGACTGTGTAAATGTTACCTTTGCTTTCCAATAATGAATAATAAAAAATAAAGGAAAATTCAGTTCCCACTCAGTTTTACAGCTAAAAGCTAAGTTCTTAAGATATTCCTTAAAAGATAGTCAGTACTTGTGATCACTTAAAAAAATACAACACCACAAATTTCAGATGCGTGAGTCATGAAGAAGGTACTTAAAAACTCAAAATATCCACTTAGCCCCAGATGTTATCAAGGCTGTCTGGTACATGGTCAGGTGGCTTGAAAGGTACTTTAAAAGCAGAAGAAAGCATTTTTGTTCTGTTTTGTGTGCAACGGACAACTGCAATTTTTTTTTTGATGATAAATCGTCACTACGACAATTTGAAAATGAACACTGCATGACACAAATTTGTCTTTCAGAACCCCAAAATTTAGATTTTTTTGGTGGTAAAATAGGACAAATAAAAATGTACAAAATGGTGACAAAATAGCTGTCAGTGTCTCATACAGTAGTGGAGGTAAGTTGTTTCTTGTCCACTGTTGTGCATATATGCCAGAGACTTGATTTTGCTTGTGTGTTAATTATTACAGCAGCACTATGTTCAGAGCTTAGAATCAAATTAACTTCAGCAAAAGGTCTTCAATCTTGTTTGGTTTTATTTATAATGTTAAATCTCTACAATTACCTTATACCCACTAATGGTACTGACATGTCGCCGGGGCATCTTCCACTGAACCCTGAAGGCTGTGCAGTTAAGTGTTTCCAGCTGGATGTCCAACGGAGGACTCAAACGATCTGATTTGAAACAAAATAATTAAATCACCAAAGAGAAAACAAAATGTGAAAATAGTGAATTAAAAGGGCATTTTGGAGGAAAGCGAGTGTCAACGTGTGTCATAAATACAGAAAACAGAAAACCTGTGGTTTCTCATCTCGACTGTTATCGTCTTTGGACTTTGGCTCTGTAGTGGAAAAGAATAAATGAAACAAGCTGACATAATTGGCAAAGTGCTGGTACTTTGCCAATTATGTGAGCTTGTTTCGCTTATTGACTATGTTTTGTCTTCGAACCAGCGTCAATTTATTTGGGTACATTAGCACATGGTCCAAGTAACAGGTGTTAATGATTATAATTTTTTCCCTATCTGTAATAGTGTTTTTCTACTATTCCAGGGGAAGACTACTAAGTTGATCTGTTTACTAGTTCAATCAATAAACTAATTCAAGCCCGTTTCTTTGGTATCCTCCAACGGACTAGTAATACTGCTCCATCATTGAAGGATCATTACATTTTCAAAACAAAAAATCTTTTCAACTTTATTCTGCTAGTATTAGAGTCTATATCGCTTTTATCGCTGTGTCCTAATGTGGCCCAATACCAAGGAGTTGGGGACCCTTGCATTACATTATTTGTATTGAACATTCTTAAATTAACTTATGGTGTAATTTAACTGCAAGTGAATGTTTTTGTCTCTACTGTATATGTGACCCTCTAAGTCACTGCCTGTACAGCAGAAGAAAAATAAATGAACTACCCCAAGAGACAATACTCACCATTAGATCTTCAACAAAACACAATGTGAATAATGTCGATATGATCCTATTCAAAGGAAACTGTATTAGAGTGTAACTGTAAACAGACATTGAAAATAAGCCAGGTATAAAAATAAAACAACTAAAATACTAACTAAAAAAATACTGAAAAAATAATGCTGTATATTTCATGTCTGTAGTAACAACATCTCATTTGGAACTTATTCAAGACATGACTCAAGCAAACAGTGACGGATTCCACTCTACTCATATCTGAAGGTCCTGAAAAATGTCTTGTGAACAATGCATGTAAATTGATTCACAGTATTCCCAGGACTACTGTTGAGTGTCAAAAACACCTTTTTAAAAAATATATGCAGTCATCTATTAATTGTTCATAAACATAAACATTAGAGTTGTCAGCTTAAAATGACCAAGCCAGACATAGGGTGAAATATGACTAATGGTAAGCAAAAAATATATATCAAGTGGCCAAACGACTACATGCCCAAAAACATTTTAATCAGATTTGAAGGAAACATTGTCAAAACACAAAGCAGTGCAACAGGTTTTGAAGCATTTAGAAGCACTTAGGCTTTTGTTATTTTCAATTTTGCTTTCAACTTGTCTAGCAACTGTGTGTCTTTCTCTCATTAGTTATTAGGGTAAATATCAGAGAAATTACAAATTAAAGTTTCCACAAATACATCACATAACGTGTTAAATTGTCACAGGTTTAAAAGCAAAATCAAAAATGAAAAAATAAAGCTAGAAATTGTGTTAGGTAGGTTAAAGTCAGAAATAAGCATATCAAAGACCTAAACAATAATTAAATGCTGACCCCAGAATTGACCCTGTTGTCAGTTTTGCGACCAAATTTGATGTAACATTTTTAAATAGTTTGTCGTTATGACTATAACAAGGGGGGTACTTTAAATAGCACATACATTTGCAGTAAGGCAAATTGATCACACATGTATCATCACGTATAAACTCACCAGATCTTCGAACATTTGTTCCTCTGGCACAGACACAAACGCCGGAAGACCAAATAACCAAGAGCAGAAAATAATGAAGTCTCCTGTCCTGACAGCTGGAGTCCATGTCTTCGTGTTGTCCAGAGTTCCAACGGTCAAATTTTTATCGCATAATTATCGCTATAACATTCTATAACATTTATCCGACTGGACATTAAACTTTTTGTTTGTTATTTTGTTTTTGTTGTTGTTGTTTTTTGTTTGTTTGTTTTTTGGGGGTGGGGGAGTTGTTGTTGTTTGTTTTGTTTTTTCTTAGTGGAAACCGATATATATTTTTTTTTTTTTCGGCGACGCAAATGCCAATCAGAGGCGAACAGAAACCGACCAGGAAGAGCAGGGCAGCTACGACGGTGATTAGATTAGCTCTGCAAAAGATCAGTGGGCTGGACACTGAGGCACGCACGGACTGACACAGTTCCCGCTGCCGAGCCGACATAGAGTGGAGTGGGCTGCCCCCACGGTTCGCACGTAAAAGCGCAAAGACTAACGCGACAGGACGGTGGACACGAGCATGTTTACGCGCGGATCTCGCTGTCGTGTCAGGTTCCCGATGCAAGTCCTGGGAAACAGATTTGTTGGAAACAGAGGAGAGGGAGGGAGGGGGGTATTTAGAGTTAAGAGGATAATGAGCGTCTAATCCGTGCACTGGACACAGATGGAGTCTTTACGCGGAACGGGAGACACTCCAGCAAATGTGCGTGTGTGGGCGTGTGCGTGCGTAACGACTTAGATCAGGGTGTCAATTTGTTCAGGGCCGAGTACAATCACGACATAATTACTTATAAATCAGAATAGGTTCATGTTTCCCATGGAATGAAGTACAAGTATATTAAAAAACATCAATATGTAATGAAATATTAATTTACAAAACATCACGCACAAGGTATTGGTGCAACTTTTTACTTTCAAAGTTCATCAAGTGGGCCAGATTGAAAGGCCTGCAGGCCTTATGTTTGACAGCCCTGTCTTAGATGCTAAAGCAACAAAGCTAAGATCTGAACTAAATATTATCCAACATTTTAGGTGGTGTTTAAGTGTTATGATGGTTCTACTAACATTTGAAGTTTTTAAAGAAGCTTCTTCTATGAAGAGAACACATTAGGCCGGTACTGATGACACTGAGAAATTTAAATATTTAACACATGAGTCATGTACTGTCCTCAGTTTTATTGGTAATGTGAAAATTCCCAGGTCATAAATCACACTTTAAAAAAAGAAAGGGGTTTTCCCTGTCACTCATATTTTAACCTTTTTCGGTCTGTTTCTCATTAAAGTCGTCTTTTGTGAAAGGAAAATGAACACACTAAATGTGTTCAACTTTGGTATGGTCCCAAGGCTTCACGTTGAGGGAATAACTCTTTCTCGAAAAGCCTCTTGAAAAGTTTATTAATGACTGGGGTTTCTTCAAACAGGTGCATGATGCTGCTTCGTGTGCAGTTCGGTGGAGAACAAAAGTATATAAAGCTGTCTCAGCTTATATTCAAAGCTTTCTTGAAAGAAGGTGAGAACAGACAAGTTCGGTGATAAAAACCATACAAAGAAAAACTGCAGAAGATAGAGGTGCCTCTGTCAGCAGATCTCCCAAAGGTATAGCATTTTAGTGTAGATCATAACAATAGTGATTTGTTGTTACACTTGTGAGTTGTTACTTGTTATGGCAAGAGTCACATTGTGTTTTGTCTTAAGTTGGGGGACTAGGACATAGTCGACAACCCCTCTGGCAACACATTTGCACATGAGGATGTCCAAGCAGCTGCTGCGGTTCTGAAACACTCACACTGATGAAGACACTGTCCGTGAAAAGATGAAAGCTACCTTCACTTATCGCCAAGCAATTGTCAATGATGACAGCAAACTTGGGGGCCGCAGGAGGCAGAGTCTCATCAAGTACTCCAGAAAAAAAAAGCTTTGTTAAAAAAAATCATATCTTCTTAAATGTCATTACTAACATTTTTTTAGCTTCAGTGGGTTCTTCTGAACATGAACTGTCCTGAAAATGAATGGAATATTGAAGAACATGAATGGTTTTTCTGAACAAGTCTGTACTCTCATCAAAAGCGACATAGTGTTTTGCATACTCCTCAGCATGTTTAGTTGAGTAATGACGTTTCAGGTTGTATTCCTTATGCACAACAACCTTTACTGTGCAAATAAACATGTTGTTGTGCTCATGTGCTCAACAAACATTGCATTTCCCACTTTACCGTGCTGTGCTCGTCATCAACCTTTCTCTTCACTGCAGGCTTTGAAAAACACATGATTTGGGCTGTGTGACAAGATATATATTCATTACAATACACTCTCACATTACAGTTTCAGAGAAGTATTTAGCTATTTTAAAAAATGGCGGTCTGTCGATATTTTTTGTCTGTCGATATCTTTTGTGGATGAAATGTATTCATGTGTTCATATTTTATAGAAGTATGCAACATATATAATCATGTTTTAAAAGATCATAAGAGATTCGTTAAAACATATAACCTGCCTAAAATATAAATATGCTGCTTGTTGAAAATATAAAATGTACTGCATATAAAAATGCTTTCGAAAATGTGCAAATATGTAATCTGTGTGGAAGCATAAGCATGCTGCTTGGATTCTGCAATATAAAATACACAGACACTCTGTAACAGGAATTAAGTTAAACTCAGGATGTGTAGTGAAGCATCTGATGCGACAGGATAGGCCTTGAACTTGTGGCAGAAGCTCAGGAGGTGTACGTGACAATAACCAAGTCTTGAGTTGAAGCCAGTGTGAGTGTGGAAAACAAAGAACAATAAGATCGTTTATCAAATATGATAACAAACAGGATGTCAATCTGAGGTGCAACATCTGTGTATTTTGGGCAAGGGTCTGCTAATAAAAAGAGCCTGATCTTGTGAAGGGGCAGAATTCAGCAGTTAGTCTTCTGACTCTCCGTTGGATCCTCCCTGTGCACAGGCGAACTCGAGCAACGACTTTTGTCTTTTCTTTGTACTTTATGAAAGTTCTTAGTAAATACCGTTTGAGATCGATCAACGAATCCGGGGTGGCAGAGGGCCACAACAATTTTGGGGGCTCGTCCGGGATCAAGAAAAACAGAGAGTTGATCAATAGAACCATTGGACACAAGGACCTGCCTTACAGCTAGGTTTGAGGCCCAGGGATTTGAGGACCCCCAAATTCTAACAGGGTTAGACGTCTTTGGGTGTGGCAACCCCCACCGTACTCTGACGAGGGTCGGTTACAGCTGGGTTTGAGGCCCAGGGATTTGAGGAACCCCGAATTCTAACAGGGTTAGACGTCTTTGGGTGTGGCAACCCCCACCGTACTCTGA